TTAAAATGCGAAGCATTTTTACAAACCTATATGATGAGATTGACTAAAAAGAGACTATCGACATATTGTTGCTTTATTGAGTCAAATAAAAAAAACAAAAATTAATTTAATAAAAAATAGTTACAAAAAGCATTAAAAAAATAAAAATTAAAAGCAAATTAAAAAAAAAATTCTATACGGTAAACAACAAAAAAAGGCGTACGTTAATTAAACGGCGCCGATAGGTCCGTAAGGACCTATCTAGTTTAATATAATAATCTAGTCAACCTGTTTCTGTAATAAGTTAGAAAGTGGTTTGAAAATCTACTCCGAGGTATCAATAGCAAATTTGACGTCAAATTAGTGTTAAAATAATGTCCAAGTCAAACATAACAGGTACCAGTTTATACGTTGTTTTCATTGCATTTGAAAACCATACGTCGATTATAGCAAAAGAACTTTATGTCTTTAATGACATTTTTTAGATTTGTTGATGCGTACCGAATCGTTCATCTCTTATGGTTTTACGGACCTCAATGATAATTTATTTAAAAGTGTACTGATAGCTAGTTAGTCCCAAAAAAATTAGGTGATAAGACGACCAAAATAAACCTTTTTTTTTTCAAACAAACCGAGAATCAAACATTTTTTTAGAAGCTACCCTTAAACAAGTATAAATTGTGCACAAGTATTGTGCAGGTAAAGCGAGAGGTAAATCAAATCTTTTATTGAAAGTTTTTACAACATTGGTGCGCCGAAGGGAGTATATTTTATATGTTCAAAAAAGAATTTGTTTAGAGTAGGCTTCGTATGGTCACGGTCCCGGGTCGCATGTATGGTGCCTAGTTTTTAATGTCAGATTGACTATAATCAGAATACTTTTAACGTTTTAACGCTCAAATAAATCATTTAGAGCCGGTTTTTCAGGTTCATTTACTTGTTACGTAATATAGCCAAAATACGACAAAACACAAAGTTGCGATTGCACTTACTAACGTTTACTTATTTAAAACGGCATTGCAATAAATAATTCATAAAAGGGGGGAGGAGTCCTTAAAGTATAAGAATTGAAAAACCGCCTGGGACACTTCCAAGGTTAGACTGAAAATTGTATATCAAACAACACGCAAAAAATAACATTTCAGTTGTTTAAAATTGCAGTAAGAAATTTGCAAAATTGCATTTTAAAGAAGAATATTATGCCTTTATGCAATTAAAAATATAAACGCGGTCACTAGTAACCCACCAAAGCGCATTTTTCATCAAATACGCAAATTGGCAATAAATTTACTTTTATTAAAAATGCTTATGTATAAGATTTTATAAAAAAATGTTTATAAATAAAAAAATTATCTTTGGCATGCGCAGAACCAATTTTTCATACTTGCATTAAATTTACTTTTATTAGTGCCTATATATAAAATTTCATTAGAAAATGTTGAGAAATAAATAAATAAGTTAGCTTACGCATGCGCAAAACCAATTTTTTTTAACGGCATTAAATTTACATTCATTAGAAGTGCCCATATATAAAATTTCATTAAAACATGTTGAGAAATAAAAAAGTTAGCTTTTGCAAGCGCAAAAAAGGGCCCATTTCTAGGCCCTAGGACGATGGTACCAAAAATTTTATTGCGTAGTGTACTTAGATATAATATCTAAATGATACAAAAAAAAAGTTTGGCTGTAAAGCTTCTACAAAAAAAGTAGTTCATCTTCACACAGACGGACGGACGGACGGACAAAACGCCTGCAATAGCTATACTCATTATAGGGAAAATGCGCTAAAAATTCAGTAACTTATTTTTTTAAATATTTTGTATTGTTTTGTTTTTAATTATTTATCCATCTTGAACCGACTATCTGTTTTCAACAACATTTAAAGAAAGAAATGCAATATTGGAGACTGTATGATAGCTTCTAAAAAAGTTTGAAACTGGGTTTATTTGAAAAAAATGTTTATTTTAGTGAGTCTCGTACTCTCGTCTATCCCTAATTTTGTTTCCCAGCAACAAATACTAACGCCTTGTGTAAGTTGTACGTATTACTTCACGGTCTATCAGTAAAAGAGAAAATTTCTATTTTGCTTTATGAAGTGCTCAAGCTCAATATTTAATATGAAGATATGCCAAAATATTGAAATAAATTTAGGTTCAATTCGTTCGCTTGTGATTAATTTAAGACCTATTTGTATATCGGCTTTAAAATTGTGAACTTTGTACGTAACTTACCTTTAAAAAACAAAGGCTTTTCTCTAAGAACACGTTACAAATTAACTTGAGTGTGGTTTTTTAATTGACACTGACGATTTGGGAGATTTATTAGTCGATCAAAAGGAAACCAAATTACTGTGAATCTTCCTGTGACTTGATGGTATATCGTGATTTTCTTAAAAATATATAAAACATTTATATTGAAACTTACCTTTATTAGTCGTTGCATTCCTCACTTCCAACACACAACTAAACACAAGAACCAATTTTAGAAAACTGATAGTACATTTTCATTTGTGCAAACTGAAAACTTGCATATAAAACAAAGAGAATTGTATCTATGTATAATCTTTGCATAAGATGTAATTAGATACTATGAGAAAAGATAAACTGACTCTTTTAGTTATAGAAACCCTGACTAAGTGTAACAGATAATAAATTATTGTTATTGTTACTTACTCAGCTGAAAACGTTAGCGTAATATTCTAATTTGGTCATGTTCTCTCGTCAGGGGGATACATTAACCTATAGCTCCTTAATCTTAAAAAATTAATATCTCATTAATGGTAACAGCACAAAACTTTTTCTTTACGGCACAAACCAGCACATAACTAGCACAAACCTACTGCATAAAAAAATTATTGAAAATTTAATGTGGGGAGGCTATCATTAACCTAGCCCCCCTATCTTAAAAAATTAATATCTCATTAACGGTAATAGCACAAAACCTTTTCTTTGCGGCACAAACGAGCACGTAAATAGCACAAACATATCGTATAAAAAAATATTTCAATATGTAATGTGGGGGGGCTATCATTAACCTAGCCCCCCTATTTTTAGAAATTAATACCTCATTAACGGTAATAGCACAAAACTTTTTTTTACGGCACAATCGAGCACATAACTAGCACAAACCTATTGCATAAAAAAATATTTTAATATGTAATGTGGGGGGGGGCTATCATTAACCTAGCCCCCCTATCTTAAAACATTAATACCCCATAAACGGTAATAGTACAAAACTTTTTCTTCGCGGCACAAACCAGCACATATTTAGCACTAAACTTTCGCAAAATAAAAAATTGAAAATTTGATTGTGGGGGGGCTAGGTTAATGGAGCCCTTGGAATTGGAGGATCGCGCGTTCGAATCCGAGCGCGTGCCCTTTTTTTTTCTTTTATGTGACAATTTTTTTTGTTTTAATTATTATAATTATAATGTTACAATGGAAAAGTTATTGCTGAAGATTTAATTTATATGTAGCGAGTTACATTTTGGCCATATATTGAAATTTGAAGCCGCTGGAGAGGTTTTTGAGTTAAGGGTGTCGTAGACGCGTAAGTTTTTCGGTTATAATTTTTTTAAAAGACTTGCCAGACGGGTACGTTCAATGGGAAATATTTAGCTCGAATTGTGAGCTATCATATGCACCGCTCCCCGTCCGAATCGAAGGAAAAATAAAGGTCCTGGAAATTTTTTTGTAAAAAAACTTATATCGCGTGTTTGCCAAGTTTCTTTTATAATTTTTTAACGGTACTTTGTAGGTCTGTACTTACAATGGGAAAAAGTTAGCCTTCTTCTCTATTGGAGACGCCCGATCGCCCCTTGACGAGGGGTTGTTTTGATATACGATAATGAGGAAATCGCAATTATTATTATAATTGCTATACCTGAGGACGAAATTTTTTGAAAATTTGTAAATACGATCGGTACATTGCGGTGAAGAAGATACGCGAAAATGAAGGAAATCTCGCAAGGGGTATTCCTCCCCCACGAAATACCCGTTTTTGTGATTTCACGCCCCGGAAGTTAAACGGTAAGCGCTTCGAGGATGCCGTCGCGACTAGGAGGGATAGCAAGAATGTAGTGGTAAGGGTTGTAAAAAATCAAGAAGAAACACTTATTCGAACCTGGAGGCGAAGTTACTCGACGTTGATAATTCCGAAATTCGTAACCGATAGGGGTGCGCGACTTTTTTCGTCGGTACGGCGCGACCTTCCCGCAGGGGTATGAGTAAGACTCAAAGTGCACTAGGCAGATCGTTTTTGGGTAAAATTGCGAGTTTTAAAAACTGAGGATAAAGGAGGGAAGAAATTTTTCGAGAAAAAATTGCACCTTTTAGGGGTTTAAACAAATTTTCCCCTGTAAAAAATTGGAGCTTTTCGGGAGGGACTAGATCACAATAAAACGGACGTTTGTCCAATATTTTTATTGAAAATGTAGAGATTTTCTGCAAATTTTTGGAATAGAATAGGTTTACCGTTTACCTATCTTATATAAAACACTAATTACCTGATGTCTATAATTGCGTTTAAAATTTTCTCGTCACAAGTGGGCCTTAGGTAAAGAAAAAAAATATTAAGATGTGCTTCCTTATCGACGTGAATACGTGTCAAAAAACATTGAAGAGATAATTTAGCGGTAAAGAACACGTGCTCTTGTAACTGTGCACAATCATTAGATATTGTATTTCTTCACAAATGCCGCCGCCGCCGCTTCGGCAGCATTTGAGATAATGTTGAGATAAACACTTACAGATACTACAAGTATTTAAAGGGTGAAATGTTATTTTTTCGAGTTAGTTCAAGTGCAGGTTTCAAACCATAAAGATCGTAAGTATAACACTTTACCGATTGGCATTTTTATATTTCAAAATTAGTTTTTCTGAATTTGTTGTAATTAATAAAGTAGGTATGTCATTTAATCAATGGTAAACCTGGTCTCCTAGGTATTATGTTAACATATTTTTTTTTGTATTTTTCTGAACATACAATGTTTGTCGTGTCAGGTAATACATAATTGTAATTGTAAAAAATAAAATAGGTAATACTTTTGTATATTTCTTTTAGAAAATGAAATTAGAGTTATCGAGGAGGTGGTTGCGGAGGTCCATCGGGACGCCGAAAGCGTCGACCCGAAGACAGATGTGTAAGTTAACGACAGAATCAAATTTATATTACATAAGCATTTCTATTTATACACGTGTTTCTTACAATTTTTCTTTCTGTAGAACTCAGAACCATAATAAGAACAGACGGGGACGTGGACGGGATCGGGAACGTGGACGAGATCGGGGACGTGGACGAGGGCCACGTCGACATCGTGGTCGAGTGTTACAAGAAGAAGCAAAGGTAAGATTTAAAAAAAATAAATTTTAAATTCACTAACACGTCAGCAAAAGCAGGTAGTTACAAGATTGATTGATTGCTTCTGTAAAATGTAAAATCAAAAATATCAGAAAGATACAAAAAAAAGTAATTTATTTTTATTTCTTTTTTAGAAGACCATCAGCTCACCGCCACCGGCTCCGCCGACATCGGCGCAGCAAGATGCCCCCTCACTAGGGGGCAATACATTTATATTTAATTTTCATTACCATTTTAAATAAACATACTTAAATTATATACCAGAACCATAATAAGAACAGACGGGGACGTGGACGGGATCGGGAACGTGGACGTGGGCCACGTCGACATCGTGGTCGAGTGTTACAAGAAGAAGCAAAGGTGAGATTTAAAAAAAAAAAATTTTAAATTCACTAACACGGCAGCAAAAGCAGGTAGTTACAAGATTGATTGATTGCTTCTGTAAAACGTAAAATCAAAAATATCAGAAAGATACAAAAAAAAGTAATTTATTTTTATTTCTTTTTTAGAAGACCATCAGCTCACCGCCACCGGCTCCGCCGACATCGGCGCAGCAAGATGCCCCCTCACTAGGGGGCAATACATTTATATTTAATTTTCATTACCATTTTAAATAAACATACTTAAATTATATACCAGAACCATAATAAGAACAGACGGGGACGTGGACGGGATCGGGAACGTGGACGTGGGCCACGTCGACATCGTGGTCGAGTGTTACAAGAAGAAGCAAAGGTGAGATTTAAAAAAAAAAATTTTAAATTCACTAACACGGCAGCAAAAGCAGGTAGTTACAAGATTGATTGATTGCTTCTGTAAAATGTAAAATCAAAAATTTCAGAAAGATACAAAAAAAAGTAATTTATTTTTATTTCTTTTTTAGAAGACCATCAGCCCACCGGCTCCGCCGACATCGGCGCAGCAAGATGCCCCCTCACTAGGGGGCAATACATTTATATTTAATTTTCATTACCATTTTAAATAAACATACTTAAATTATATACCAGAACCATAATAAGAACAGACGGGGACGTGGACGGGATCGGGAACGTGGACGGGATCGGGGACGTGGACGAGGGCCACGACGACATCGTGGTCGAGTGTTACAAGAAGAAGCAAAGGTAAGATTAAAAAAAAAAAAAATCTTAAATTCACTAACACGTCAGCAAAAGCAGGTAGTTACAAGATTGATTGATTGCTTCTGTAAAATGTAAAATCAAACATTTCCAGAAAGATACCAAAAAAAGTAATTTATTTTTATTTCTTTTTTAGAAGACCATCAGCCCACCGCCACCGGCTCCGCCGACATCGGCGCAGCAAGATGCCCCCTCACTAGGGGGCAATTCATGAATGCTAGTTTTATCGATTTAACTCGCGCGTTTGATTGTGTATGCCATGATTCTTGGACCACTTCTTTTCATTATATACATAAATGATCTGCCAAATAGCATTCCTCCTAATGCATGTTGTTTATTATATGCTGACGATGCTACGTTGATAATGGAAAGTAACAATGTTCAAAACCTGCTACTTGAATCCAAGTGTAGTCTAGATTCCATAAACGATTGGTGTGCTCTGAATAAGTTATGTATAAACCCCACTAAAACGGAATCATTGTTACTAACTTTAAAACACCACGACATTGTGAATCCAGAATATGTAAAATTTCTAGGTGTATATCTCGACGAAAAATTGTCATTCCGGTCGCATGTTAATAATATCTCTGCTAAACTCAATAGAAACCTTTTTTTCTTCAAACGTCATATAATATTGACATTACGTAGCCCAGCACTCTGAGTTAAAGTTTGACTTTTTAGAACAATCGAACAAGCGGCAGTGAAGTATTTTAGTGCCTAGGCAATAAAACGCTTCAGTGCCAGTGTCACATTGTTTTGCTTTGACAAGTTGATGTTATTTACATTAGGTTCTTGGTTCACCTAGCAAGTGCGTTGATCTTTCCTTCTGATTTTAACAGAAATAAAAATATAGTCGATCAAAGAAGCTATTTATTTATTTAAATAATAGTTAATGTTGAAAGTACCATTATTGAAATTAAACCTTCGTTCCGGCAGCATCCTAGTTTTGAAGAGTCAAGTTTTGTTTGGCTCGTCTTATTTCTAATGAATGAATGAAGTATTTTAAAAAAACTGGATTGGTTTCTGTTTCAAATGAAGGAGTAGTTGAAGTCATTCCATCTGATAAACCTGGATTTTCTAAAGTTGTCGAAAGTATTTTTTGTGCAATTTCATTTTTATTTGAAATCGAAAAACTCGTCCACAATTAAAACGTCAAAACTAATAATGGCCAACTATAGCAATTGTTATAGTCACCACGGCCGACGCGCTCACGGCTACCCATAACGATCGGGTTAATATTTCTTCCGATTTGAAAACCATTATTTGGGCGTTATTCTCACGTTTGAAGAAAAAATAGCATATATTATGCGGAGCTAAAGTAACTTCTTATGGCTCGTCAGTATTTTGCTGGCCTCGCTTCGCTCGGCCATCAAACACTGACTCGCCATAAAAAGTATCACTTTAGCTCCTCATAATATAATATACTATTGTTTTACGTCGCTTACAAAAAAATGTATCGCAGTTTGTTTTACGTAATGCGTACTATGCACTATTTCATAGCGTGATGTCTTATGCTGTTCTGGTGTGGGGCAATTCTTCACATGCTAAATACATTTTCAAATTACAACGTCGTGCTATTAGAGAATCACTAATTTAGGATATCGTGAAGACTGTCGCCAATGTTTTGTTAAATTAGAAATACTTACTTTTCCATGTGTGTTTATTTTAGTGTGTGTATGTTATATAAAACAAAATATTAATAGATTTCAGCAAGAAATTCCACATAATTATACAACTAGAGGTAGGATGTTGTTACCGGTGCCGTTCCGTAGACTTACCAAGTCTCAGGACGGAACAGAAATTATTAGCTTAAAATGTTTCAATCACCTGCCAAATGATGTTAAAGAATTAGCATTTCCGAATTTTAAACTGAAGGTTAAGAAATTCCTTAAGGAAAAGGCTTTCTACTCTGTTGAGGAATTCCTTAAGATTACTATACCTACCTTAATTTAATTAATAATTAGATGTAGTTATCTTCAATGTATTGATGTTTGTTGTTTTTGACTAGTGCAAGTATTATTTTGTTTTGCAAAGCACGTAATATATATTATTATTATTATTATTATTAATACATTTATATTTAATTTTCATTACCATTTTAAATAAACATACTTAAATTATATACCAGAACCATAATAAGAACAGACGGGGACGTGGACGGGATCGGGAACGTGGACGAGGGCCACGACGACATCGTGGTCGAGTGTTACAAGAAGAAGCAAAGGTAAGATTTAAAAAAATAAATTTTAAATTCACTAACACGTCAGCAAAAGCAGGTAGTTACAAGATTGATTGATTGCTTCTGTAAAATGTAAATTCAAAAATTTCAGAGAGATACAAAAAAAAAGTAATTTATTTTTATTTCTTTTTTAGAAGACCATCAGCCCATCGCCACCGGCTCCGCCAACATCGGCGCAGCAAGATGCCCCCTCACTAGGGGGCAATACATTTATATTTAATTTTCATTACCATTTTAAATAAACATACTTAAATTATATAACGTGTTTAGATTTTATCCCGATCTGTCTCGTACAGACCACATAAATTGAACCATCAAATCTAAAAAAATTATTACTACCATATCCTAGTCCTTATTTCATTTTTTCCTAGCTTTACTACAACAATGATAAATATCATTGCATCAACTGGCATTAAGTGGTCGACCCCGAGAAGAACGTGCCAATATCGAAGTGGCTTTCTTTATTTGAATGACAGGAATTCGTACTATGTCTAGGCACCTATCCCACCCGATCTTTTGGTTTGTAATGTTTATGAATTCCTGACTCGACCTGTCACTGGTCCTGGATCAATTGCTCCGTTCTTAAACATTTCTAACCAACCAAGATGAATGGTGCACCTGTAGGTCACCTGTGACAGGTAAAATTGACAGGTGTACTTGTAGGTGTGACCTTATAAGACTGCGCTTTTGCACGAAATACAGTCGCTCGCAAGACATCTATCTCCTCAGATATACCTGTAACATTGATCGTTATAGTAGCTATAGGTGTAACTATCAGTTCTACTTGTCGCAGGCGATCTGTAAAATCTATCCGTTAAAACAACTCTCGGTTCACCGTTAATCTCAGTTCGTCAAACATGTTTGAGAACGGAGTAATCTACGGTGGAGAATTGGCACGTCGACTCAGTAATTCATTGACATATCCACAAGTCGAAAGGTGGAGTGCGACAGGTGTTTAGACATACTGTTAACTAGTAGAGTGCTCCGTGGCATAAATTATGACTTCCGTGGGGGTTTTGGTGTCACAAGCTGAAATTCACAAAAAATCAAAGGTCATGATATACTGATTGTAAATGTCAAGGCCGTCCAAAATCGGTCCATGCATTAGGGCACAAAACGCGAAAAACGAGTTAAGCACATGTACGGAAAGAAGAAAAAATAACGAATTTTTTCGTATATAAATCAAAATGTTCTTTGTACAGTGAAAGTAATAATAAATTATCAAACGTTTCGAATTACATTGGGTCTTACGGAAGAATTAAACTTCAAAAGCGATTATCTCAGTTCGATATCCCTAAAAATTCGACAAATTTTGAGCAACTTTTGCGTTTACATCGTATTATTTAATAAACGGAAGCCTAAATCAAAAAGTTTTACTCTTAAAAAAAGTTTCGCTCATCGTTTATCTTTACATTGCACCGAGAATTATAATTTTATCTGCAGTAGTAACCAAAATATGTAATTAAAAGTAAAACAACGAACTTTTTACTCACTTACAAACGGAGCGCTTTCGCTCCGGTGAATACAATCCATCTCTACATTTCCCGTAGCTCCATTTCGCTCTTACACCATAGGTACGTTCTCGACACGGGTATACCAGAGTTTTGCCAGTGTATTATTTTGTGTAGGTATTGCGTTTTTTTTACAAATGTATATTTTAAAACCAACTTTAAATTAAGAGTGGTCAATAGTGAACGAATCAGAAGTGAAATTGATTAATTGTAGGTACACTAATATTTTATAATTATTTTTTAACTGGGGTTGTAAAGTTACAGAATACAAATATGGATAGTACAGATAGCACCGGTACAAGTGATGAAAGTGATCTTGAATGTTTGTTAAAATTTAAGGGTAAGCTCCGTCCAATATGTATTATTTTCAAAAGAGAAGGTGCATCTTTAAGTGTTACTAATAAAACTGCACTAACTTTCATAGAATGTACAAAAATTAGAGACGGCATAACCAAAGTTTCCGATTCACAAATTCACAAAATAATTAAAGACATCAAGCTTGGAAATATAAGTTTATGGTATTGGCATAAGTCATGTTATTTAACGTACACAAGCAAGAAAAATATTGAAGCTTTACGTAAAAAACTTTCCAAACCAGACCAATACCTTGAAAGCGGTTTAACACCACCCCCTACAATAGGCAAATCTTTGCGGGGAATAAGTTCATTTAACATTAATAGGTGTGTAATTTGCCAGAAACGTTTACCCGAAAAACGCTTGTCACAGGTAATGTCCATAAATATTGACCAAAAAATAAAGCATATAGCAAGTGTCAATGTAGATGTTTTAAAGAGAATAGGATCGAATGATTTGATTGCCATGGAAGTTAAATATCAC